AAGGGGTATTGGCGGCGTACCGGATGGCCCCCCACGCAGCTACGGGATTTTCACCCTTCTACCTCATGTACGGCCGCGAACCTGACCCGCCTGTTCGTGCCCAGCTGCAGATTTCCGCGCCTCAGGGAAAAACTAAATTGGCTGACCATGTGAAATTTAATTTGGCCAAATTGACAGAGGTACGGGATGCTGCCATACAAAACTCTGACCTCCGTCAGAAAGCGAACGAGCGACTCAGACGGGGTCGGGCGCACATGCTGCAGTGGAAGCCGGGGGACAAGGCATGGCTGCACTGTCCCCAGGTGCCATTAGCAACCTCCTCTAAGCTGGTGCGGCCGTGGCGGGGCCCTGTGGAGGTAGTTGAGGTGTTGCGACCGCAGTGCGTGCGTATCAAATGGGGAAAGCGGCGGTGGTTCGTGCACCCCTCTAGATTAAAACCATGCGTCGCAGTACACATCCCCACTTCACACGCGTGGCCAAACATGTGGGGGGTCGGCCGACTCACTGGGTCCGTCTCCGTCGCTCTCACCTAATGCCTTGCCGGCTGTGCCACCTCCAGGTGCATCAGGAGTGACGGGCTCACGCCCGATCACCCCTCCTAGGGATGCCAAGGGTCACGCGGCGTCGGATGAGGACTCACCCCAAGACGGACTGTTGCCACAGGACGGTCCGCCACCCGGGGTTACCCCGTGTGAGGGGCCCGCTGCAAGGACGCGCGCTAAAATGCGCAGACTGTTGTGAGGACGGAAGATGTGTACATAGGTTGTGTTCATTGTGTGTTGTATGAATGGTGTGTTCCCCGCTCATTGGATGCGTATGCGTTGGGCTCACCATGTGTTGGGTGTGTGGTGGGTTCCCTGCAAATCGTATGTATGCTGTTTTACGGAATTCGTATTTATTCGGGGGGGTGCGTCGGGTTGTTTCTCTTCTTGATGTTGCGTTCTTGTTGTTGTTCTTGTTATTGTTTAAAAAATAGTGAGGCACACGCGCGGTCAGGGGGTAAATGCGCTTTTATTGTCGTTTTTTTTGTATGTTGGCAGCCGGGACGGCTGCAAGCTATGCGGGGGGGGGGGGGGGGGGGTGATGTAGGGGTGTTAGAGAGAGAGCCGTTATGCATGGCAGCTTATGGGAAACAAACACAGTGGGCGGGGCTACGTGAGTGCACGGGGGGGTGCTCTCAACGACGTCCGCACCGGGCAGCCCGGGGCCCCACCCCTCAGCGGGGGTTGAGTATAAAAGGGGATGTGTCAGAGGGCTCGGGGGGAAAATGTTAAGCTAACGAGAAGACTGAAGACATCTTAGCTAGAAGCCCTGGACTCCCCTAGTTCGACGTCCTTATCAGGGCCGAACAGGATCGAGCCAGCGGCGTGGTTCCGAGAGCCAGAGCCGGTGCTTTTGTCAGAGCAGGTCTGGGACTCCGGGTACCGGGCCCGACTTACCAGTGTCGGGCCAGATAGCCTCCCCTAGCCCGTTAGTGGAGGACTAAGAGGCAGGCTAGGGTAGCTAGCGTGTGTATTCCCAGCTAGCTGGGTGAGGGGGCCGATACCCCCTCGAGTGTTATATGCCCACTGTTGTGCTGTGAACTAAACCCGTGTGCCTCCAACTCCGGCGTCAAGAGTCGTCAACGGTATTACATCTGTGCTGCCCACGTAATATCCCGCCCCCTGCCCCCCTGGCCCCTTCCCCGTGCTCTGAGTGTCTTATTGCGGTTAGCCCGGTGAGCTTCGTTGTGCCCATACAATTTTAAGCCAATTCACGGGGGCTGCAATGCAATTTTGCCTGGGGGGAGGGAGGGTCGGCCAATCTCCTGGCACTGGGAAACCGTAGGACATCCCCGCTCGGGGCCCCTCGGATAAAAACCCATGATACGAGGTGACCCCCCCCCCCCCCCCACGAAACCCTACGTGGGTGCGTGTGTGTGTTTAGTGGGGGTGTGCGTGCGTTCGTGTGGAGGGGTGCAAGAAGATGGCAGCGACGGTGGAGTAGCTCCGGTGCTGTGGCACCACCATTACAGCAGTGCATATTGTGGTGGTAGCTATGATTACAGCAGTGCATACTGTGGTGGTACCTGGTATGATTAGAGCAGTGTATACTGTGGTGGCACCTGCTTTCACTACAGCAGTGCATTATTGTGAATGTTATTTGTAGTTGGATAAGTCGAGCCAGACGTGTGCCCATGTAACTTTAATGTATTCTTGAGAGCAAGGATGAAGAAGTATCTCCATCCACAGTTCAGTGTTATGTGCAGTGCTGTACATTTGGCTGCAGTATGGTGATTACACAAAGTGACCCAATTTAACACATTAACTTATTCTCTTGTTGTATAGCTATTCAGTGCTAATGTAGGTGCCTGGTACATCCAGGACCTATTGTTGAGATTCATGTTATCTAAGACAATGTTATGATGCTATAGTGTCCATTCATTGTATTTATATTGCAAGTATTAACAGATGATGTATTTTGTGCTCCGTTTTTCCATCAGTGTGATCTCGTTTTATTAATTAAATACGTTGGAGTCAGATGTTCACCCTGGCTTTGAAGGTTTATTGAATGCGAGGTGAACTACTTGGATAGTGGTGCAACGCAGCGCGCAGCGAGGCCGAGACAATTTTATTCATACAAAAATCTTTTTCATTTTATCAGGTAAGGCCCAGAAGTGACCTGGATCACAAATTATAATAGCTCAACGAAGTTCCGTATCATGTAGAAATGTATAACAGCCGAATAATCTAAACACATGTTAATTCTGAATGTGGAGGGAAAAACCGGAGGACCCGGAGAAAAATCCACTCGACCACGGGGATAACATGCAATTTCCAAATATACAGCAGGCGTCAGGGTTGAGATCGAACCCACAACCTCCTGTATACCAGGCGAGGTACTTAACATCTCCTAACCACCGGGGCGCCCCCCCCCCCCCCACTTCCGCTGAGTAAAAGACTTGCATAGTTCTTCCCACTGACCTAAGATACAATTCTATCTGTGCGGAGGACGCTGATCGTAGTGGACGACGTTGCGATGGCTCTTAACGTATAAAACGCGTTTTGCAGGTGGAGGAAATGTAAAGTATGTTTTTTTATTTATCACACCAAACCGTGTAAACACAATACATCATAGGCAAACTTTAGCAACAAAAAAACTACTCATACACTTATAATAATAGGGGTTTTCCCTATTTTACTCATACAATTGACTGTCATTTGTGGGTGACATTAACTTGTCAATGCCTAATTTCTCTGAATGGGCTGGGATCGAATCGCAAGTGTGCCCGCGTTTAGACTGCATCCTGTGTGGGGACCGGGGCCACAGTGGTTAATGCGCTGTGCTAGGAACCCGGGCACACGCGTTTCTCACTCACGGCCATCAATACCAGTGACGATTATCTGAACCGGTCCTGGGCCTCCCCTCGGTCGACTCACCCTCAAGTGAGTACCTCGTGCAGTGCGTAAACTTCGCCACTGGAGAGGCAAAGGTGGTCAGGCATGATGCTGGCCACCCACCCCCTCGTGTGCCGTGCCGGCCTTCATGGGTACTGGTCGCTAACAGCACTTTCCCGAAGTCTGTTAAAGACTAGATGGGGGATCTTTGTTTGGACTGCACCCTGGGCCTAAATGCCAAAGGTGACTCATTAACGCTCGTGATTGATCACTTATGGCAGGGGTCGGCAACCAAAATAACAATGAGACATTTTTTATTTAAAGCTTTCGTGACTGCAGGGATTCATATTCTTGGTTCTTTCGGTAAAGTCACGTAGAAGGGAAATAATAAAATAATATAAAACAATAAAATTCTCACGACGTTTCGACTGCAACACAAGCAATCATCATCCGGTGTGACATCCACAGCAAGAAAATTTGAACATTTTCTGATGATGATTGCTTGTGTTGCAACCGAAACATCGTGAGAATTTTATTGTTTTATATTTTTTTCATTGTATTATTTCCCTTCTACGTGACTTTACCGAAATAACTAATAAAAGACATTATGAGGAAAAATAAGAGGTTTTATCCTTTCTGGCAATGCTCTGATATTTGCATCTTGAACCTGATTGGCCTACACCAGAGACAACCTTCTTTATGGCCTCGTCCCTCCACCAGCGTTAGACCAGAGAACGCCAATAGGCGAACTGTACAAAGACAATGCAAGTATCAGAGCACTTATATCTCGGGTTGAGCAGTTATATCTATGGGATACCTTTTTGCCAATATCAAAAAAGTTTCAAAGACAATGCATGTATTATCAGAGGTTTACTATTTGCATGTTTTGCCACAAGTATGTGTGGTTCATGCAGACGTGATGCCTTGCAATAGGTATCTGTTTGGTGTTTGAACATCTTAACACCTCCTGTTTTATTGCCAGCAAGGGCAAAACCTATTCTTAATTTTTCATCATTTTTGATACTGGTAAAAAAGGTCCCATAGATAGAGATTTTTTTTATCGAATTCGGTAAAAAAACTCAAGATTTCCAGAGCCGCACAATGCAACGTGAATACAAGACGGTGGTGGTCCTTAATAAATAACGTCTCGAAGCAGTCCCTTAAAAAGCCGTGCACGGCTCTGGAGCCACCGGTTGCCGGGCCATGCTCTCGCTATAGATTACACGGGTTGTTTTGCACAAGATCCTGCACACTGCGATTGTAAATTTCGATATATTTATGGTGCAATATAATACATGTATTTTAAACACATTCCTGCGGACGGAGCTGGTAGGAACGTTGAGTTGCTCGGTCAATGGCCAGGGTCAACAGTGGCGTGGTGTATTCCGCAAATATTCCCGACTGTCAGGGGGGGCACAAGCCGGCGTGAGTAGGTTAAACGTTGAGTTTAATAAGGGCACCACGGGGTGGCCAGTCCCTCCCCACCCACCCCCCCAGCCCCTCCCCACCCTCGCCACCCAGACCCTCCCCACCCTCCCCACCCAGACCCTCCCCACCCAGCCCCACCCTCCCCACCCAGCCCCACTCTACCCACCCTCCCCTCTCCACCCAGCCCCACCCCTCCCATGCACGACGGACACAATAATCCCCTGTGGGCTGGTGTAACTAGGTTCCAACCAGTAACATCTGCTCTGAGTAGCTAGTCAGGCTGCATCTTCACGGAATCCACACCACTGAAGCTGTTGCGTGTGACACAAGCGGACTGACGATTTACAAACCGCAGGTTGCCGAGCCCCTGACTTGCGGCAACGCTTCGACAGTCCCCATTGTGTTAGCCGCATATGAAGTCCCTACCACAAGGGAGCGCGCGAAAAACTCGGATTTTCGTTCACGCAATGGCTGGAGGATGAGAGCCTTGCCCAGTGTGCAGTAGCTGGATAAATGGAAGCACCCTCCCCATTCTCTGCTGCCGTGTGCGCATTGTTGGCACGGGCAAGTGCAGTCCCTGCGCATTGTAGAATGCGCACACCGCAAGATGAGTGGTACCTGTACACGTTGAAACGGGCGTGCAATTATTAAAATTCCATTTGAAATATTTTGACTTGATATTTTGCTATTCCAAGTGTAGTCCCGTTTAACAGAAATCCACACACAGTATATAAACCAAATACACTATAACACAACTCTCGCTATGTAACATGTTATATTGTACTGCCACTTTATTTACAAGAGTATAGATTGGGTGGTGTATGTTTCAAACCCCATTGATAGTTATACGTCTGCAATTACAATACAGAGCTGATATTTGCTATGTTCAGTGTGCAACATTTAAGCAGGGGTTGTTTTACTTCATTGGCAAACTGTATACACGTCAACATGCATTGCTGTGTTATGCCACTGTTGGTGCATCTCAGTTGTGTGTGTGTGGGTCACTGTTCGCGTTCCTGGAGTTAAGCGAACGTGGTCACGGTAAGAGTGGTAAATTCATAACCACCTCAACTCAAGGCCACTAAAGGAGTCGTTGTTGTGATGGTGGTGGTGACAGCAGCAGCAGTATCCCCGCATAGGGACATGGCATCTTGCGAGCAACGAAGCAAGGTTTGTGGACGCATTCTGTGCGTGCATAAACACAGCGCTAGCCTTATCTGCAGGCCCTAATTATCTTCATAACGTTACGCTCGTTACGAGCGTTGCAAACACACACGTCGGGGCGGTGACACGGCCCAGCAGCGGGGTGGTCGCCAGCGGTAGCAGAGGATGAAGGTTTGAATCTGGTCAGCCACCCTCGATAACACCGCGGGTGAATTAATGACAGTGTACCAAATGGCGCCAACTTCAGAGTGGGTTAGATGACGTAAATATAAAGGTCCTTAAATTCATCACCACCCGACAGCGAATTTGTAACGTTTATCACGTTAACAAAACGTGCCAATTAGTTACTAGTTCAGCACACCGGTGTGTTGGAGAGTAAAACCACAACATTTACTATTCGACTACAGTGACGTTTCACTGGAAATTACAACCAGCCTCATCAGGCGACAGACAGAGCTTTCCTGACCAATATTATTCCTCTTTTATGGATAATATTGGTCGCGAAAGCCTACGTGTTAAAGATCCTGTTGACGTCAAACGAAAAGAGCAGTAGGTCATCGTGTGCCAGCGGTGCCAGTGGTGCCATGGTCCAAATTTGCCACATTTAGAAAATTAGATCTCAAATATCTTAATTGGGATCACACGCAGCAGCAACATCGCCGTTAACGGTGAAACGACTGCAGACTACGTGTGTGAAACTTTGTGATAGCCTTACGCTATTAGATTTGTGACGATACTATTATTATACACACACACAAGTACATTTTTATACGTGCAAGTGTTAAAATCTTTCCCTTGAAGAAAACTAGCTCAGTGCTGAATGCTTATCAGGGTGGGATGAGACGTGATATTAAGTTATATTCTGGCTTGAAAATATGAACGTCAAAAATCTCGTTTTTGTTAATGTAAGTACAACATAACGCTCACCAAGTTAAAAGTCTTTCCTAGGAGCCAGCAGGAATGCATTTCATATTTTAAGCAGTGACGAAAAATACATGTTTTTTTATCATAAAATTTTAAAACAGCTCAATGAGATGAAACACGGTATCTGATTTATATAGAGAGCTCACAAAAGCTTTGTCTAATTTCTTTACAGATTTTTATTCCCTACGTTTAAAACTAAACTTTTTATTTTACCAGGTAAGGCCCAATGATCTATGTAGCTCTTTTTCAGAAGCGACCCGGCTATCACAAATGATAGCTCAATGAAGTGGCTTATCACGTGGAAACGTATAGCAGCCAAATACTCGTAATGTTCATTATTTTGGAGGAAAAACCAGAGGACTCAGAGAAAAATCCACGCGACCACGGGGGGAGAGACACACAAACTCCAAATATACAGCAGCAGGCGTCAGGGTCAGGATTGAACACACGACCTTCTGTATACCACACGAGGTAGTTAACATCTCCTAGCCACCCCGGAGCCCCATCAATATATATGTTTGTTGCCATTAGTGCCAAGGCTACTTAACGTTTTACGCAGAAGTAAAACACGGGTGTTTAGGAACAACTCCTGCGGACCTCCGGCATGACGAATTGCATGCAGGTCACTCTGGCTAGGCTCTCCACGGCCGCTCGATACGCAACAATATGAATTGCAATTGACGTTAACATAGCGCCGCCGTTACTTTTCCATGTTTCACTTGCGTCGGCGTGGGTTCCCATATTTAGTAGATACAACTCTGGAGATCTACTGCCTGTGTGAGAAAGAGAGAAAGAAAAAAATCAAACACTATAAAGTCCTGCGGTGTTAGACCATAGTGACAACTGTGTGGAAAGCTATGGCAGGGAAGGAATTTTGAAGTGATTTTACTTCGTTGAGAGGGTCACTCGCAAATTTAGTTGCCGAAGTTCTGCTTCAGCAAAGGTGCACAAATATACGTATAAAATAAAAGGCCGACGTTTCAGAGACCTGGCTGTATCAGTGGTATTCCTCTCCCTGTGTTGTGTGAATTCGCCTGCTACTTGTGACCAAACGTGGTATGAAAAAAAGAGGAATAAGAGAGAAAGAGGGAATCATGAGTGGAGACATTCACGGGAGTGGGCGGGGGGCAGGGGGGAGCAGGAGGCGGGGGGGTGGGTGGGGGCAGGGAGGAGCAGGCGGGGTGGGGGGAAGGTAGCGGCGGGATGGCCAGAGCAGTGCCGGACGTCACCCCAGGAAGCCAGAGAAGAAGCCGGTGCTTCCGGTTTCCTCCACGCCGATTCCCGACGACCGCATCTCGGCTCCCAGCCGCTCCACCTCCGACTCATCCACCACCTCAAAGTCGTCCCCCTCGGCGTCTGCCAGAGTGGACAGCGGTACCACTGTGGTGTCCGCTGTTGCCATGGTGTCCGCCTCGTCACTGCCACCCCTGGAAGCTCCCACATTGGCTCGGCCTCCCACCCCGGCGGTACCGCCGGGGACTCCGGCCACGGCCTCACCCCCCTCTCGTCCACGGCTGCTTTCCGGCAACGCCGCGTGGCCCGCAGATTCGGCACCACCACCCATGGCTGCAGAGTTGCCTCCGGCTCCGGCACCGGCTCCGGTTTCCTCTCCGGCTCGGGCTGCCACCGCAGGACTGTCGCCACCTCTCATCGCGGTCAGGATCTCTGGCACCACATCGCCTGGTGATTTGGCGCCGCTTCCTTCTTCAGCGTGCCACGCGCCGATGCTTGCTTCTCCGCCGATTCCGACTCCGGCAATATTTCTTGCGGCGGCAGCAGCACAGCACATTGCTGCGGTGCCGCTCCCGCTTCCTGCGATTTCCCAGCTGTGTTCCTTTACATCGGGAGACTGGGCCTGCGTACCCCGGGGCTCCGCGAACCGCAGGATCTCCTTGGCCATGGCCTCACCCAGCTCTTGGATGGCCACAGGTGGCCGCCGCGGCAGAGGAGGGGCGGTGCTGGCGGCGGTGCCGCCAGAGTCATGCTCATTGAAGTGGGTGTCGTCGAAGCGGAGGGCGGGTGCGGGCGGCATTTCCCCGTGGCGCCCTGCAGCCAACACCTCGGCTGTGCTGGCAGCACGACCACCAGGAGTCCCGGGAGCACCACGACCACCGTGAGCGCCATAGCCGCTCTGCTGCCCCTTTGCCCGGCAGTGGGGCGAGTCCTCCGGGTTGTTTTGTAGATCGAAATCTTCACAGGGAGCAATTCAAGCAAGAGCATTGGTGCAGCATCAATAACAATTGCACGCCTGTTGTTGTTATTATAATTACCATTGTTGCCATGATGTTAGTTTAGACAGGAAAGGCTCGCACCGAGTCTCAAGCCTCTTTTTTTTCAGGAAGATCCCTGTCAAATTTTCACAGCAATGGGGGGGGGGCTCGATGTCGGGTGTCAAAAAATGAAATGTTACGTTGCACAATGATACCCCGGTTTACGTCTCCTCCACCCTTGACGTCATTTCATAAACACGTTGTCGCTTTAACATTAAAATTGCTACCCAATTAGCATCGCCTCAACCACCCCACACACTTAACGTCACTGACAGCATCGTCGTCATCCGCCCTTTGTCGGTATCCGTCACCTCTCAGCCTTCGCCTCCGCCACCACCACTACCCCTGTTAAAACACTTTCGATTGATGTCGTTTCGATATTTGTTGTCGCACCTTCCAGGAATGCATCCCTCCAAAGTCGTAAACCGGGGGTAATACTGAACTCTTTAAAATGAGTGATGGGAAGAATCCAATGAACATGGATAAATTCCATGCGCAACAGGGGGAGGACACGCAAAACTTGACGCAGAGAGGCACCCGAGTGGGTAATCAAACCCAGGATCTTCTTTCTACAAGGCACAAGAGTGACCACTGAGCCGCCACCTTGCTGCCCAGATGATGTAACAGCATATTCCTCCAGTCAAAATAAAACTTTTTTTTAAGTGGGTAAGGTCCATTGAGCTATATACTGTCACTCTTCTACAGAAGCGATCTGACCACAAATGATAGCTCAATGGATTGTCTTATCATCACGTGGAAATTTATAGCAGTCAAATACTCTAAATTCGTGATGCTGATTGTAAATGTGGAGGGGGAAAAACCGGAGGACCCGGATAAAAATCCATGCGACCATGGGCGTCAGGGTTGGGATCATAACCAACGACCTCCTGTATGCCAGGCGAGGTGGTTAACATCTCCGAGCTACCCGCGGCACCCCGTAAGTAAACACTGTGAGAGTGATCCGCAGAAGGACTCTGAGCCAGGCTGAAGAGCGGGAGCAGACCTTCTTGGGAGTGATCGGCGGGCGGTGGAGGGGTGCTGCCTCGGGACAGCGTGAAGCCCTCGCTCTCCAGGATGGAGGCCTCCTCATCGGAGAGCTCCGAGTCTGTGATGGAGAGCGCCAGCGCCGTGCGCTTCACGTCTACCTGGACCATACGCACAGTGGGGGGGGGGGACACACGGTTGGAAGTCTTCTACTCAACGGAAGGGGGGGGGCGTCCCGGTGGCTAGGAGATGTTACATACCTCGCATGGTATACAGGACATGGGTTAAATCCTGACCCTAATATGTATGTTTCGAGTTTGCATCTTCGCTCTCTCTTTTCCCGTCATCACGTGTATTTTTCTCCGGGTACTCCGGTTTTTCCCTCCACGTTAAGAATCAACACGCGTTTAAAATACTTGGCTGTGACTATAAATTCCCACGCAATAAGGCACTTCGTTAAGCTATTGCTTGTGGCCAAGTCACTTCTGAAAAAAGCTAATAGCTCAGTGGACTTTACATGGTAAATAAGATAGTTTAGCTTAAATTTTGATTTAAAGCTTTCGTGACTGCAGGGAGTCATATTCTTGGTTCTTTCGGTAAAGTCTACGTGACTTTACCGAAAGAACCAAGAATATAGTTTAGCTTAGTATAGATGTATATCGCAGCGCCTTATTCTAAGGCACTTGGTTGAAATCATGAGTGGAGTGACAGTTAAGGAGGGGTTTGTGTAGTGATAGTCATAGGGGATGGGGTAGTGATTGGGGTTGGGGTAGCGAGAGGGGTAGTGATAGGGGTTAGGGTAGGCCTGGTCGTAGCTTGAGGGCCGGGGGCAAGCAGTAGCAGTAGGCTGGGAGAGGGCAGAAGAGATGGGGGTTGTTTTATCGGAGGAACAGATGCAGGTTAGTGAAGATGATTATTTTATGTGCATGAAATGAAGCCCATTTATTTAACGTAGCAGATTTTAATATTTTCACGTAGCAGTCTTAGTCTCATCACCGATAACTACAGAGCGATTGGGTTTGCACTGCTGTCTAGCCGAGCTCTGAAGGCTCCGCTCTCAAGACGGATGCCAGCGAAGCGCAAATTTAACTGCGGGGAAGCAGCAGCAGCAGGAGAGTGCAGGGTGGAACACAGAACGACATCGGACTGTTTGAGCAGCCGCTTCATGTGCAGCCTTGCTCTTTTGAGGGATTTCTCAAATCTAATAGAGCAGTGTGATATTAACCCCTTTCCCGATCCGAGGCCGACTGCAAGTTGCAAGGTGGGTTGTCCCGCTCACGGCTTAATTTGGAATGCGCAAGCAGTGAGCATTTTATTTAGAGAAGCGTAGTAGCAGCACCATTGTTTTTAAGGACGTTGTTACTCACCGCAGTGAACCGTAGGGACACGACCGCACTCTACGATAGCTGGCGCAAAAACTGTGCCACAAGCCCTCCCATTGGGCCTTTGACTTCCGATTCTGGAATCGGAAGAAAAACTGATGGCGTACGTGTATGCCATTGGAATGGGAAAGGGTTAAGATCTATGAATTGGATGATTCAACCAAAGTTGGAGCCAGATCAGAGGCAAACCTGGCTGCAATTTTTATCGTTGAGGAGCATAAACCACCATCATCACAACTCCGGTCATCCTCGCTTAGCAGCAGCTGTTGGCGAGCCATGGAACAGAGACGGCTACCGCATTTCGCACTTTCAGATGCGCTTCTGCGGCCATCTGGAACGCCCTTCCTTCGAATATTAGGTAGCCACTCGAACTGTGCATTTTAAATCATCATCTAGATTGACAACTGCTTTTTGTGTTTAGTTTCTTGGCCTTCCCCCACACCTCCGATTAGCATGGTTGGCTACGTATGGTGCCAAAGTAGTTCAACATACAGACACACACACACCGCACCTCTGATTAGAACGGTTGGCTATGTACGGTGCCAAAGTAGTTCAACATACCAATACCCGCCATTCGCCACTAAGTGACGGTGATGTCAACACAGCGCCTGTGCCAGTCGCCCTTTGAGGCCACATGAAGTCTTCTTGGTTCTTTCGGTAGTCACGTAGAAGGGAAGTAATAAAATAATAAAAATAAAACATAAAATAATTCTCACGACGTTTCGGCCACAATGCAAGCAGCCGTCTTCAGGTGAAAACCAGGTCTGTCTGAATGGCCATTCAGACGCTGTCGCCTCGACAGACCTGGTTTTCACCTGAGGACGACTGCTTGCGTTGTGGCCGAAACGTCGTGAGAATTATTTTATTATGTTTTATTTTTATTATTTTATTACTTCCCTTCTACGTGACTTTACCGAAAGAACCAAGAAGATGAATCCCTGCAGTCACGAAAGCTTCAAATCGAAATTTTGCCACATGAAGTGTCAAGGGCTCACTGACAGGAGGTCTCGGGACAGACCCAGGTGCCATGGGTTGGCTGACTGAGATGACTGGTAGATGCACCAGCTGTACCCTTACTGTGCCAACTTGCTGTATTTTAGTCACCCAGTGCTTAGCTCGTTGTTGTGAGCGTCACTCCTCTGCTCTCTGTTGTTGCTGGAGGACGACTGCCTCCAGCTGCCCAGTAGCATCCTTCACGAGCCTCCTCCATACAAGCTGATCTTTACATCTATGGTACCAGTCGTTGGCAAGTCCACTCAGCTCCGCATCAGTCCATCTCTTCTCCAGCCCATGTCATGCCCGTTTAGACCCCTCTATCCTGCTAAATGGAAGCTACTTGGGCATGCGGTGGGGCTGGGCATGCGGGCTACATGACCCAGCCATCGCAGCCTTGCCTGCCAGAGGAGCTCACTTATGGGAACGTGTCCAGATCTTTCAAGGATTGTGTGAGCTCAACATACAGACACACATGCATACATACATCAGTGCGGGCAGCGTAGCTGCTGTCAGAGATGGGTACCTTTGTGCAGTAATTGGACAGTTCTCCCTCGCTGTCACTGTCCGTCTCGGCTGTGGGCTCATTCCCGTCGGTCTTTTCCTTCCGCACACCTGCAGACATTGCAAGCAAAAACGTACAGGAGCCCCGTGTCATTTACTATTTTTATATAATTGTGATTATTATTATGATTGCACTTGTTTCCCCAGGAAAGCACCGCTGAGTATCTCTTGCTCAGGAGGGTCCATGTCAATAGGGAGCCGATTTCGCTACTCCCAAATGAGTAATTTACAATTTTTCAACATTTTAATGTTTGGCCAACACCAGTAACATTGTGTTTTTTAGCTACAGGAGAAAACTGGGGAACCCAGAGGAAAATCACGCAGAGCAGGGTGAGAACATATAAACTCCAAGCAAAGACAAAGATCCTGCATATATCCTGTAACGGACAGTTGGGGCAAGTGCTGTTATCGAGCACTGATGAAGACTGGCATGGCACATGAGGGGGTGGGTGGCCGGCCCCACTCACGGCCGCCTTTGTCTCCCCAGTGGCGATGTTTACACATCGCACCAGTTACTCATTTAGACTGAGTCGACCGAAGGGAGGTCCAGGCCCGGTTCAGATATTCGTCACCGATGTTGACCATGAGCGGGAATCACACTCAGGTCACCAGGTTCATAGCACTTTGCGCTCCTCACTACACCATCACTCCCCATAAAACTGCATATACAACAGCTGCCAATTGCCATTAAGTGGCAGTGACGTGACTGCAGAGCTTGTTTCCAGGCTTGGTGCACCTTGAGGCCACGTGAAGTGTCGAAGGTTTGCTGACAGGAGGTCACGGGACAGACCCAGGTGCCATGGATTGATTGACTGAAATGAGTGGCAGATGCACCGCTTCTGCTTCCCAGCGCCAACTTTCTCTGTTTTAACCACCCGGCGCTCCACTCATTGTTGTGAGTGTTGCTTCTCTCCCCTCTGCTGTTGTTGGAGGGTGACTGCCTCCAACTGCCCAGGAGCATCCTTCACAAGCCTCCTCCATAGAGGCTGATCTTGACACTTAGTATCAGTCATCGGCAAGTCCACGCAGCTCTGCATCCTCCATCTCTTCTCTGGCCCGTGCCGCGCCCGTTTAGCCCCCTCTATCCAGCCAAACAAAATCTGTTTCGGCATGCGGACTACATGACCTATTCAATGCAGCCTCGCCTGCTGAAGGAGGTTGTTGATGGGACTGTCTCCAGAATCTGTAAGCTCATTACACAATCCAGTCTGGTTAAACCAGAATGGGTCATACCAGGCCAGCCTGAATGTTTCAAACTGGCGCAGATGTTTCTTTAAAGGGGTCTAGGTTTCACAAGCATAGAGAAGTGAGGGCATAACTGTGGTTAAGAAGACCTGGAGCTTTGTATGGAGCGACATGCCAGGTAGCTTCCACACAGCATTACGCAGTTAGTGAAACGATAATGCCACTCAACTGCTTCAGAGTGAGACCTCGTCATAAATACACTGTCCAGGTATGGGAACTCCTCCACTCTCTTCACAACTGCCCCATCACTCATATGGAGTTGAGTTTGGTAGAGTGTTGGATGGCACAAAATACCCAGGCAGCTGATTTGTTTTTGTAGGGCTGATGCCGAGGCCCCACCTCTTAGTAGTATGCTCCAGGTTTGGCAGCAGCGCCTCCAACTCCTTTTCAGCGTGGGCAGAAATAACCAAATCATCAGCATACATAATATGGTTGGCCAATAGGGAGCTATGCCTTGACTGTGCCTGGGCATTGATCAGCCTCCCATTGTATCCGTACTAGATGGAAATTCCCATCAAAAAAAATGTAGAAGCCAGAAGACATCCCTGTTGCACCCCAAGGTAAACAGGGAATGGCTCTGAGTCCCGTCCACACAGCTTTATCGGGGCCTACCAACCATCGTGGAGGTCCTTTCTCGAAGACGATGGTACTTTGCAAGCCTACTGGCTATCAACAAAGATTCGTTCATGAAGCCATCCATATATACAGATACAATTTCAACCGAGAGGATGGTTATAAACTCAGCAATCATTGGAAAGATATCATCAACCACTTTGGGTCATGACTTGATTTGTGTTTTCTTGTCAATTACTGAAAGAAAAAAGAATAAGTCTACTGCCAGTAGGCTCACTCAGTTTAATAACCATTGCTACAGTCTACATCATAGACTGCCAATACGCTCACCAGTTTAGAAACCAGGCTATAGTCTACATTATAGACTGCGAGTACACTCACCCAGCTTAATAACCATTGCTACAGTGTACATGATAGACTGCCAGTACACTCACCAAACTTAATAACCAGGCTACAGTCTACATTAGTGTTTTTTTTGTTTATTATTTTATTTTTATTATTTTTATTGACTTTATTTTTTATTATTATTTTTCTATTTACGTGACTTTACCGAAATAACCAAAGGATATGTCCTTAATGATTGTAAGCAGAGGGTCAGGTATCATAGGCGTTGACTAGGTCAATAAAGCAGACAAATAGGTCCTGTTGAACTTCCCTAGACCTCTTGCTGTAGCAGATGGACAAGGAATACGACATCTATGCAAGATGAATCCGTTCTGAAACCACACTGGGGTTCCGCAAGCGTCTCTTCATCTTGCCTGGCAGGACCTTTTCCGGCCTTACACCGAGAAGGAAGATGCCCCTCACTCACTTCAACAACAACAATCACCATTTACCACCAAGTGGCGGTGACGTAACCATGGTGCTTGTGCCATGCTAGGTACACTTTAGGGCCACGTGAAGTGTCGATGGTCGGCTGGCAGGAGGTCAGGGGACAGACCCAGATGTTACGAGTTAACTGACTGGTGGTCTACCACTCACATCACATACAATTCCATACACCCAGCCATCAAATTCACAATGGAGGTGGAAAAGGATGGCAAGTTACCATTCGTGGATGTTTTAATTGAAAAGAGACCAGATGGCTCAATGGAACACACTATCTACAGGAAAGCCACCCATACGGATGCCTACCTAAAACCTTGACTCCCACCACCATCCATCCCAGAAGAATTCCCTCATCAACTCTACACCATAGAGCTCAATGTATTTTCGACCATCACCACCTAGCCAGTGAACTGGAACCCGTACACCAAGCCCTCAAGATGAATGGATATTCAGGCTACACAATCTGTAAAGCTATCACCCCAACCATTGGGAAAGAATCATCTGAGGACCCAATCAAAACCATCACCTTGTCATACATAGCAATTGTCACCAAAAATATTTCCAAAATCATGAGCAAGCACAAGATCCAGGTTCGATTCAACACAGTACATACAATTTGTGATCTGATCCCATCTGTGATGGATGTGATCCCTGACATGCAATACCCCGGCGTCTACAAACTAAGTTGTGTCTGCGGCAGTAGTTACATTGGGGAAACTAAGCGACATGTCTCGGACCGTGTTCGTGAACATAAGGCAGATCTGAAACACGGTGGGACCAATACCTCAGCCGTGGCTGATCATTGTTTTAATGCTGTGGGCACACACGAAATTGATTTCTCTAAGACTTTACAAACCCACTGGCTATCAACAAAGATTCGTTTATGAAGCCATCCAGATATATAAACATAAGACACAATTTCAACCGAGAAGATGGCTACAAACTGAGCAATCATTGGAAGGATGTTATTAACCAGTTTAAGTCATAACTGGCTGTGATGTTCCCAGCCTACCACCTTCCGATGTTAGTTGTTATTTTCGGCTCTCTGATTTTTTACATTAACAGATTACATTTCTCACTAACACAGCTGTCTCGTGCGCCATCCTCAAGGCAGATGCTTTACGATCTCCCATTAACATGCTAATCTCTAACATTAACATAGCCACCTTGGCATGCTCGGCATGGAGGATGCTCGGCGATCTTCCATCAATATGCTCATCTCTCACATTAACATGCTCATCTCTCACATCAACATGCTCATCTCTCACATCAACATGCTCATCTCTCACATCAACATGCTCATCTCTCACATTAACATGCTCATCTCTCACATCAACATGCTCATCTCTCACATCAACATGCTCATCTCTCACATCAACATGCTCATCTCTCACATCAACATGCTCATCTCTCACATCAACATGCTCATCTCTCACATCAACATGCTCATCTCTCACATCAACATAGCCACCTTGGCGCACTCACCGTGGAGAAGGGTCGGCGATCTTGCATTGACATGCTAATTTTTGCCTAGCAACCCTCTGATTGGTGGAAAGCCCACCACCACCACAGTCGCTGCCCACCACTTGCATTGGCATTGGCTGCTGACATTTGGGCTACGCCCATTTCAAACCTTTATAAGCAGTTTTCTTTAGAGGCTAACCCCCCTTTTCCTGAAGACGACCGCTTGTGTTGCGATCGAAATGTAATGTTTTCTGTCTACGTGGCTTTACCGAAAGACCCAAAGAATACTAAACTAATAACTAAACAATTTTTTTATTTTTGGCCAGGTAAGGCCCCACTTAGCTATGTAGCTCTTTTTTCTGAAGTGACCGGACCCCAAATGATAGCTCACCAAAGTGGCTTATTATCATGTGGAAACTTATAGCAGCCAAATACTCTAAACAAGTTGATTCTAAATGTGAAGGTGAAAACCCAGAGGACCCGAACAAAAGTCCACGCGACCATGGGGAGAATATGCAAATTCCAAATATACAGGCATCAGAGTCAGGATCGAACCCATGACCTGCTGCCTACCAGGACCTGCAGAATAGGGCGAGAACGAACTTCACACAGAAAGGTGCCCGTGGTGGTCAATCGAAGCCAGATGCTTCTTGCTGTAAGGTAGGAGTGTCACCACTGTGCCAAAACACAGGAACGCACAAAGGAGTGGCTGGTCCTCGGAGCACCACGTGAGGGCACAGCTGCGCGGCTCGTGTGGCTCAGGCGGCTGGCGGAGAAAGAAGCGAAACTCACGACGCTGCTCGTGGCCGCGGCCCAACATGCCCCCGCGCATGCTGTAGTCCAGCTTCATAAGCACAGGCTCGATCCGGTTGTACATCTTCTGTATGAGCTCGTGGTAGACCACCAGCGGCCACAGCAGCACGCTCGCCACTGCACACACGTCACACAATGTGTCACGCAACGTGTCACCCGCCGGCGGGGGCAGCCCAAGGGGGTCTCGCAAGGTGCCTGCGCCGACCAGTCGTACGTTCGTTATGCAACTAAAATAGATTTTTACATTGTGGATCCTTGGCTCGTGCCTTGCATCATCCAGATTCACGATCACTCGAAGAAACCATTAAACTAAACTATTTTTTATTTTACCAGGTAAGGCCCACGGAGCTATATGGCTCTTTTTCAGAAGCAACCTGGCCACAAATGACAGCCCAATTAATTGGTTTATCATGAGGAAAGTTATAGCAGCCAAATACTCTAAACCCAGGTTGCTGCGAATTCCGGAAGAAAAAACTGGAGGACCCAAAGAAACATCCACGTGACCATGGGAATAACATGCAAACTCCAAATATAAAGGCATCAGAGTTGGGATCAAACTCACGACCCTCCTGCATACCAGGCGAGGTAGTTAATGTCTCTTTAGCTCACCGAGTCGCAGAAATCTTACAGGAGGGCCTGCCATCTTTTTCTCGCAACAGGATAAGATTTTACAGCTGTGTGTAATCCCAATTGAGTCATCTGCAGGTAATTTTTCAGGATTTGTGACATTTGGCCAGTACCGGTTACACTGTGTGGTTTTATCTGTGGGAGGAAACCATGGAACCTGGAGGAAACCCACACAGCACAGAGAGAACATACAAACTCCACGAAGAATGGTGCCTGAGTCATGAACCAGAGGGAGAGGGTGACATGCACACAGACACCAGAGAGGTGACATTGAGAAGACAGCAAAATGTATATTTTTTTACGTGAAGAGAAATAAGACAGAGGAATGTAGGAATGCAAGCAGGAAAGACAAGAGAACACATGATAATGCTTGGCAGTGTGCCCATCTGTACCTCGGCGTCATCTGTTTTGCATGTGGCCACTGTGGGCTTGCGAGGGTCTCACCGATGATGTACGCAATCATGATGCCTGGGACATAGTGGCCCACGATGGCAAATCCCAGGCAGCAGACACACACGCGGGCACAGAACTGCAATGACAAAAATGCAAGGTAAATATCGGTCAAGCATTTTGATTACTGCAAATGTCCACTCTGTAGTGTAATGCCTCTCAGGTGTTTTCAAAGTGAACCAATTCGCTTCCACATGCAAAAATAATGCAGGCGCGTCTCGCTCAACCAAGCGCTCTTTCTACGAGAATTCGCTATGACGAGAAAATGCGAATTTAGAGCAAATTTGTTTGCAAAACAAGCAAAATGTTCACTTAGCAAGCAGGAGGCCGATCAAAAATATGCGTCCAGTCGCGGCAGGGGGCACACGGCAGGGCCGAGGCTGTTTGTTACCCAGCTGTGCTGTGTGCCCACGAGATTGGCCGTGTGGGGGAGGAGAGCCTCGTGGTAGCACTATAATGGGTGAGTTGCTAGGTAGGTTGGGGGAGGGGTGGCAAGGTGTAGGGAGTGGTGGTATAACGGTTAGCGCACGGCGATACAAACCCGGTAACCCGAGTTCAATTCCCGCCCACGGTCGACACCACCGACTATTATCTGATCCAGTGTTGGGCCTCCCCCCTAGGTTGACTCAAATGAGCACCTGATGCTGTGTGTAAACATCACCACGAGGGAGACAAAGGCAGCCGTGCGTGGTGCTGGTCACCCACCCCCTCATGTGCCGTGCCGGCCTTCACAGGTGCTCGCTAACCGCACTTGCCCCAACAGTCCGTTAAGACTGTACAGAGGGGATCCTGCACTGTGGTTCTTCACGTGTGGTAAGTGCTACATTTGATGTTTTATGACTTAATAAAAAATATAATTTGTATTTAACGCGTGAAATAAATTGTTCAACAGTGGAAAATTTCGGGGATGAATTGCAGTGCCAGTCTTTAACATAGGAGGGAGTTGATGGAAAAATGACGATCGGTTTATAGGTTTTTGCTTCCCCTGAGCAACTTTGGTGGAACGCATCTCGCTCGTGAAGCGAGACACGCCCGTAGAAACTCTCGGGGCCTAAGTTGTGCCTTTTCTGCAAAAAAGCAAGCACTAGTTTCCTCTGTAAAGACCACACGCAAAGTTCAACTGTGTCTGTCCAATGCTCGCTGCATTGGCTACCGGTTGCAGAATGAATACATTGTAAGGTCGTGCTCATTACACACAAAGTGCTTGCCAGAAATGAACCACAATACCTCGCTAATCTGGTCACGGAGCATAAACCATCACTTAAACTCCGGCCATTGGCGCAGCGGCTTTTGGCTAGCCATCGAACAAAGACAGTCACTGGCATCGCACAATTCCAGATGAGCTTCTGCGGCCATCTGGAACACTCTTCCTTCCAATATTAGGAGGCCACTTGAGCGATGCACTTTTAAATCATCTAATTTGAAAACGAATTTCTTAAAAACTGCTTTTTGTGTTTAGTTTGTTGTCCTTCCCCCGCACCTCCGATTAGCACGGTTGGTTACGTACAGTGCTAAAGAAGTTTAACATACATACATATTACATATGTAGTGACATCCAACACAGTAATCTTTATTTCTTTCAGCATGAGACACACGTGGTCTTCAAGGATTCTCTCCACTCCAAGCGTCCTGAACTCTCCTCGCTTCCCCTTTATATATATCCCTAAAGCCCATTTCCTGAAGGTTCCTTGACCTTCCGTTTTCCCCCCAGCCAATCACCTTCCACTTTACCTAACGGATTCCAACCATCCACCCTGTTAATCATTTCTGTTTCCTGCTTTCTACATTTTGTATTTTTCCTCCAATTCCCTTCAATTCCCTGCTTCTAACCAATCGCCTTTCAAGCCCATTAAGTACCAATCAGAGAGCCTGTCCGTGTCATGCATGCCGTGTCCATAACGTCGAGTGAGTATTTTTACCAGCAAGCCGAAGTTTGATTCCCCGTCACGGCTAGCGTCAGTGGTAAGTGATATCGGAACCGCTACACATACATTAAAATGACCATGCAAGAGCAAAAGACATCCTGTTTTAAACAAGTCCATTCGAAGCAACACTGAACTGCTGCGAGATGTTCCTCTGACATGTGATGGACGTATCCCACTTTGCACCACGCGTACTCTGTGAATTCCTTGAAGGGAGGAGCCGAGAACCGGCTGTGCTGTGCTAAGAACTGGAGTTTCCAGATACACAGTCCCCGAGATACGAACATCCATACTTACGAACATCCGCACTTACAAACGAATCCGCAATAAGACGTTATTATATTCAACCATCCGACTTGCAACGTCCGGTCGTACTTACGACCCGAACCGCGGAACTATTTTGTTTGGTGGAGCGATCTTCCGCGAGATGTAATGATTCTCAGCATTGCGTGTGGTGCACAATGACAGTGAGCCATTCCACTTAAGGGAAGTGTTCTGTTTTATTTACTATACAGAATTTATTACAGTGTCGCATGCAAATGAACAATAGTTATTTTTATAAATGAGTTTAACAATGCTTTCGTACATTTTATAACACTGACCGTGCGTACAATTAAACACGGAGTTCTATGTGCCGTGTGTGCCGTGCGTGCCGTGCGCCCACCCGGTCGGGGTGCTGGGCTCGGTAGAGCGCGAGGTCGACGCAATAGGCTGTGAGGCTCTCCCAGCACTCGGCCAGACTGCGGCACAGCTCCGGGAGGCTCAGCAGCTTGGGCTGTGCCCCCGCCCAGCTGCAGAGCGTCCAGGACACACACACACAGCAGCAGCAGCAACCATCAACAACAACAATCCCTGCACTAGGCCTGCAACCATTAACACGCTCCACCGTGATGAGATTTTGTTGAGGAAATCAGGAGGATCCTGTACCATCTCAATCGAGTAATTTTCATGTAAATTTCGGCATTGGGATGTTTGGCCACTACCGGTTACATTGGGGTGCCATGGTCGCCGGATGTTAACGACCACACCTGGTATACAGGAGGTTGCGGATTCAATCTCAAGTCTGACGACTGTATATTTTGAGTTTGCATGTTCTCCCTGTGGTCACGTGGATTTTTCTCTGGGTGTTCTGGTTTTTCTCTCCACATCTAGTAACACAGTATTTGTCGGCTATACATTTCCACATAAGCCAATTTTTGGGCTATCATTTGTGGCCTGGTCGCTTCTGAAAAAGAGCTATATAGCTCAGTGGGCCTTGCCTGGTAAACGAACAATAGTTTGGTTTAGTTTATTGCGTGTGCGTTTTCTTTTTAGCGGTGGGAAACAAATTGTTGCACCCAAATACATTTCACGGCAAACAGGGGGAGAACATAAAAAAAAACTCCACGCAGAACTGTACCAGAGTCGGGTATCAAACCCTGACCCCTCCTGATGTGAGACACGAGTGTTACCGCTGCGCTGCCACCCTGCTGCCCAAGTCAAGTGTTGATTCAATTCGAGAATCAATTATATTTTAACATTATTGTGAATCAGTTTAATACGTAGGCTTTCGCGACCAATATCATCCATAAGAGGTTTTTGGGTTAGTTAAAGTTATTTTGATTTCTTTCAATTTCGATAGATTCTCTAATTAGTCTTGGCCAGTAGTAGCTAGTTTTGCACGAAACTTCAACATTATCAAAATCAATTGAGTGTCGTTCGGATAGCTACCGTCTTAATGTTGCGTGGAAGCGAATCATCAAATAACACATTATTGAAATGCATGCCTACAAAGAGCAGCGTACTTCAATAGGGATTACCGTTGGTAGGGCTATTTTAATAAACACAATAGACAGGAAGTACAAGTTCAAAGGGCTTACACAATGTACACGCATAATGTACGTTGCATCAGTAATCCTGCCCCCCCACCCCCACATTGTGCAAGAGCGCAGAAGGGTAGTCAACACATCTACGCCTCTATATAAGGAACGAAACAGGTGGACTTGTCCACAAATCTGGCTGTCGCCTGATGAAGCTAGTTGTAATTATTGGCGAAACGTCGTACTCAGATTGTAAATGTTGTGGCTTGGCTCTCCAACACACCGGTGTGCTGTACTAGTGACGAATTCAAATGTTCGGTTTACGTGACAACCATTACTAGTTGACTGTGTCGGGTGGTGGCGGGTTTTAACGACACATTTATATATTTGCGCGATCTAACCCAAAAGCTCTATTATGGATTATTGTGAATGTAGTGACCACACAATGCCCAGCACACACAGGGTAAATGAATAAAACATCCTCTTAGGTTTTTTCGATAAAGTCACGTAGGTAAAAAAATAAAATTAAAAAAATAATAATAGAAATTAAATAAAATAATAAATCACGACGTTTCGGAGGCAACACAAGTCTCCATCATCAGGTGGGACCGTCACAGCTAGATTTGCTGTATCAAGTGAGGCAAAGATTCCAAGATACAAGTTCTTAAATACAAGTTAAGGGGGGAGGAGGGAGGGAGGGGCTTATCTGAATGTGGTAGTCAATGAATGGAACGTATTGGGAGGGGGTGGGGCTAAAAAAAGAGTGAATAGCAAAAGTGTGGTCACCCCGTGGTGCCCTTATAAAACTCAACGTTTAACCTACTCACGCCGGCTTGTGCCCGCCCTCACAGTCGGCCATATTTGCGGAATACACCACGCCGCCGTTGACCCTGGCCATTGACCGAGCAACAAAACGTTCCTACCAGCTCCCTCCGCAGCAGGAATGGGTTTATTTCAGCATGTGGCATCGTAGCTACAGATTTGGCCGGGGCTGCGAGCAACCCACAGATGCCAGACGTGCCATAGGTGCCGCCAGCGTATGCCGTCACGTCTAACATGCAACCGGAAAAGTTTGCGTTGGGCATTTAAGTCGCCATCGACAGATTTAGCACATCTCTTGTAATGCCCCATAATCTGATGCTAAGGCTCTTAATGTTGACGTCACACCAACGGTGTTCCTGACGTTACTGTATTGTTAAAAACACAGGGTCGCCCGTGAAAGGGACTCGTATTTTTCACACCACGTTGCTGTGAATTTTCGTGGCACGGTTGGCTACGTACGGCACAAAGGAAGTTCAACATACGTACATAATTACAACTGGATGGAGTGGTGGTGCAGCGGTTAGAAAATTGTGCAAAGAGCCGAGCAATCTGGGTTTGAATTCCAGCCACAGCAGAGGTCGCAAACGGGTTTTGATTCCTTACCCGTACCCAGCCGCACCAGGGTCGCAAACGGGTACCCGTACCCGTACCTGGCCGGGTATGGGTAGCCGGGTATCGGGTAGGGTACGGGTATCGGGTACCCGATTGCGACCTCTGAGCCACAGTTAACAGCAGTGAAGAGTGATATCTAAACTGGTGCCAGGCACTCCAACTCTCCATCCCCCGTCAACAATCTGCACTGAAGTATGTTCAAACAACAACCGCAAACAACATGGCATGAGCAGGCCTTAATTTACAATGTTTTGACATATGACTGTAAATCATTGTTATAAATTACAACCCTCAGGCAATAGATTACAAAAGCAGCTGGGCAGGATTTGGTTTTTACTTAAAATGAAGAGGGTTGGGCATAGATCAGGGCTGGGTATACATCAGGGCTGGGTATACATCAGGGCTGGGCATAAATGAGGTGGCTGTAGGACTATTGGATTACCGTACTGAAATGACAGTGGACATCCAAGATTAAAATTAGGGGCTTCTGAATTATGTACAGTTTCACGCATAGTAAGGTTGTCACAGCCTGACCATAAATTAGTCATACAAATCTGGGTGGTAGGGTGTCACAGTGCCAACACTTGTGCCTCACAGCATGTGGGGTCTCGGTTGTGTGTGGAGTGTGTATGCTCTCCCCCTGTTCTGTATGGGTTTCCTCGGGGTTCTCCGGTTTCCTCTCATAGCTAAAAAAAACACATGGCCGAGCATCCTGAAGCTGAAAAATTACCTGCAGGTTACTCACTCGAATATAGACAAAGCAATGTCGCCCTCCTATTCCGAAAACTTGGCAGGACCCCTCTTGAAAAAGTATTGAGACTCCTGGTGAATGTATGTATGTTGAGCTTCTTTTGCACTCTAAAGAGCCAACCATGCTCATTGGAGGTGCGTGGGAAGGACACCAAACTCTGGGTCTCTATGTGAGTCTATGGGTCTCTGTGTGAGTCTATGTATTTAAGTTTAACTTATTTTGCACCCTCCATAGCCAACCATGCTAATTGGAGGTGCGGGGGAAGGACAACAAACTAAACACAAAAATAGTTCTAAAGAAATTCGTTTTCAATCCAGATTTAAAATAAGATGAATGCAAATAAATAGATAACAAGTGGCTTTACACTCAGAGAACATATTCAGCAGCAAGACTGAGGGTGAACCACTTCCCGGTCCGTGCATCCTAGTGGTTATGAAAGACGGAACCTCAAATGAAATCTGCTCTATGACGTCAATTCCAGGACCTTTCAGAAAATTATCTGTGGCTCTATTGTTTGCCAGAGTTTCTGGGGTAAAACGTGACTTAATTATGTTTAGATGTCATAACAGCATTAGGCAAATCTCCACAACAGATGCAACATGTACTCACGCTCATAACAAGCTCCCCATGGCCTGGCCAACTTTCAACCCCAGTCTCTGAACCAATCTTGTGAATATACACAGCACATTTAACATCATACATACCCTTCAGTGTCACTGGTATCCGTCCACTGATCTGAAACAAAAACAAAATCATAACTTCAGTTGAATATTACTTAAGAATGACATAGAATGGCTGGTGCACCTGATCATGCATATTCTTTGGGTCTTTCGGTAAAGTCACGTAGATAGGTTCAAAGAAAATAACAAAAAACTACAACGTTTCGATCGCAACACAAGCGGTCGTCATTAGGAAAAGGGCATTAGCCTCTAAAAGAAAACTGTTTATAAAGGTTTTAAATGGGCGTAGCCCAAGTGTCATCAGCATGGGCGGGGCAGCTAATGTTAATCTAAGTGATGGTACTCGTAGAGGGCAACCACGGCACTGGTGGTGGGTTTCCACCAATTAAAGGGCTGCCAAGTAATAATTGCACTTCGCTTTACACACTCACACTGTTGACGGTTGAGGTTGCTGCGAGAGGTGATGGTACTCGTAGAGGTCCACGACGGCACTGGGAGTGGGCTTCCACCAATAAAGGGCTACTGCGAGTGGTGATGGTAGTAGTGGACAGTGATGGTCCCAGTGGTGGGCTTCCACCAATTAAAGGGCTGCCAGGTCTAAAATGAAAACATTATAACCAGTTATGACTTAAACTGGTTTATAACATCCTTCCAGTGATTGCTGAGTTTGTACCCATCTTCTCGGTTGAAATTGTGTCTATGTCTGTATATATGGATGACTTCATGAACGAATCTTTGTTGATAGCCAGTGGATTTGCAAAGTACCTTCGTCTTAGAAAAATAAATTTAGTATGAGCCCACCGCATTAAAACAATGATCAGCCACGGCCGAGGTATTGGTCCTACCCTGTTTCAGATTTCTCTACCAACCAGTTTAAGTCATAACTGGCTATGTTTCCATTTTAGACCTGGCAGCCCTTTATTGGTGGAAATCCACCACCAGCGCCGTGGTTGCCCTCTACGAGTACCATCACTTCCATTAACATTAGCTGCCCCGCCCATGCTGATGACATTTGGGCTATGCCCATTTCAAACCTTGAAATAAACCACTGCGACTACAATCTGGAACTTGTGTCTTCTTTATTGTTTATTCACTCCTTCACAGCTGGACAGCTCCGCGCACTCTCTGACACGGCTGCACTCCTGTCCCCGCGCGGTTAAGTGTTCTCTCGCGCCAGCTCGCTCACAACCTCTCCTGCGTGCCGCTGACAAGACGGCTCGCTGGGAGAAAGCCTCCGGCCCGCCACGTGGCCGCTGGCGTTCCAGAGACCCGCGACGTGGTCCCGCTCTCTGACTCCACACACTCACTTATAAGTTGAAACGGAGAGCCTACGTCACCAAGCCCCGCCTACAGCCACGCCCTCTCACGACCCTTCAAGATGGTTACTTCCCCAGAGCCTTTAAGCTCCGCCCCTAACTTCGGCTCATCCCTCTGAATGGGTGATGGCCCCAAGCGGCGGAGCCTATCCCACTGATCGGCGATCGGCGGTGAACTCTCGTATTACACCTTTATAAACAGTTTGCCTTTAGAGGCTAACCCCTTTTTCCTGATGACCACCGCTTGTGTTGCGATCAAAATGTCTTAGTTTTTTGTTATTTTATTTGAACCTATCAACGTGATTTTTACCGACAGACCCAAGGAATATGAATTCCTGCAGTCACGAAAGCTTTAAGTCAAGATTTCCCACAGTATATTGGACAGTAGTCCCTCGGTTAACAGTTTTATCAGTTTAGGGTTTTGTGGTTAACGTTTCGCCTCCCATAGAGACTCCATGGTTTCGACTAACGTTAACTTTGTGATTAACAGTAATGTTTACGTTATGCACGACGACGCCAATTTCAGCCAATTTGAGTGCTCGTAAGTGGGGCTGACACACACCTTTAGCCAATCAGCGACGGCCACCTTTGAGCGTTTAGACCTTGACTGGCTTTGTTTACAATACGGTTTCTGTTTTGGCAGTGGAAACGGCTCTCCGTTTCAACTTATAAGTGAATTCAATTAACAGTTATTTCGGTGAACAATAGTTTTCATGAAATAGATTAAAAACATTAACCGAGGTACTGTATACTACCTACAATTGTGGGGAGCGACAGTTAACACGCTATGGACCTGGCAACCTGAGTGACTCTTAGTTCCAGCGAACACGAATCCAGAGTGACATCTGCACCTTTCCTGGAACCCACTTCACCAAGTAGCACTGACCAGCATGGTAAAAATTGGTAAAAAAAACTGCATGACTGACAAGGTGTGACATGGCCTTCATCCAGGATTGGACTGACGAAGGATTGAAATAAATTACAATTTATTTCCAGAAAGATTACAAAAAAAACCCTGGTATGTGACTATGGTTACTCTGCTAAATTTACATGGATACTGATATGGAGTCGTCGATCCCTACACAAAGAGACTCAATAACAAGCAGGCCTTATTCTGAAATGTGCAGTCCCCCATCAAACAAAAATTCGGCGGCTGAATTTAGACCGCAACCATATCGTTTTACAGCCTTGGAGATCACGCATTAACATATTTCACCGAACCCTAACAGTGTCAACTTCCCATAAACAACGCAGAGCCAAACTCCAGCCTCGGGTGCCCTATGTGTCCCGACCTACCGTTAAACGACATCAGCACGTTTGGATCTCGACACAAATCCCCCCCACCCCCTTCTGATAGCACATGCTTCATGAAGCGTGCGTTCACGTTAATACAACTTTGAGCGATGTTGTATAATCCTATGTATTCAAGCAGTGGGCGGAGGCTCGCATTTGTAATTGGCGAGATGTTAAATACCTTGCCTGGTATACAGGAGGTCATAGGTTCGATCACGACCCTGCCGCCTGTTGCATATTTTAAGTTTGCATGTTTGTTCTCCCCGTGCTTGCGTGGATTTTTCTCCAAGTCCTCCGGTTTTTCTCTCCACATTTACAAACATGCCTTTAAAGTATTTGACTGCTATAAACTTCCACATGATCTTCTTGGTTTTTTCGGTAAAGTCACGTACTTTACCGAAAAAACCAAGAAGATGAATCCCTGCAGTCACGAAAGCTTTAAATCGAAACTTCCACATGATGTTAAGCAATTCATTGGGCTAGCAATTGTGGCCAGGTTGCTTCTGAAAGAGAGCTATATAGCTCAGTAGGCTATACCTGGTAAAATAAAAAATTGTTTAGTTTAAAAAGTATGTATGTTGAACTTATTTCACACCGTACGTAACCAACCGTGCTAATCGGAGGTGCGGGGGAAGGAAAACAAATTTAATACAAAAAGCTGTTTTCAATCTATATGATTTAAGAGCGCATAGCTCCAGTGGCTTCCTAATATCGGAAGAGTGTTCCAGACGGCCGCAGAAGTGCATCCAAAAGCGCGTGATGCGGTGACCAACTTTGTTTGATAGCTAGCCAAAAGATGCTATGAGGATGACCGGAGTTCGCTCGTGTAGGTTCTGCGATTGAACTCGCATTATATTGGGCCCTGTCACGTCACGAAACGTCTAAGATGGCAAATCCCTGACTGGCTATGTACAGTGCGAAAGAAGTTCAACATACATACATACAAGGTAACTCAACACCAGGCTTGGCGATGAGCATTAGCTTGCTAGTTAGCAAGCAATGATTTATTTGCGAGTAATTTGTGGGTAATTTTTATAATTTAAACCGAGATTGACATTGTATGTTTGTTTTTAGTTACAGGGGGGAAACTGGGAGAACCCTGCAGTATAGAAAATGGGGGAGAACGTACAAGTTCCACACCAGAAAGGTGCCGAAACCAAGAATCGAACCCAGGAAATTCTTGCCGTGAGGCACGAGTGTTGCCACTGTGCTGCCCCAACCCCTCCGGGGCAGTGGTGTTGGGCGACCTGCGTCCCGCGGAGCCCCTCCTGGTTGTGGCCTGGTCTCGGTGTGTCTAGGGGTGATGGCATCATGATGAGTGCACAGGCACGGTGTTAAGCTTGCGGCCCACTGAGGTGAGGGAGGACTGCGTGTGTGGCCCAATGACTAGTGTAGGTTGCCCATCACTGCTCTACACTAGACACTGTCCTTGAAGTTGATTGGTCCACACCCGAGACAGCTTTTCTTAGAGCCTAGTCTCCATTGGTGTTGGACCAGATGACGCCAAAAGGCGTACAACTCAAAGACAGTGCACTATCAGAGTATGTCTTTGAGTTGTACGCCTTTTGGCGTCATCTGGTCCAACACCAATGGAGACTAGGCTCTAAGAAAAGCTGTCTCGGGTGTGGACCAATCTACTTCAAGGACAGTGCATATCATTATCATCATCATAGTTGTTTCTTTTTGTTTGCATTTTGACTGCTTGTGTTGTGGTTATTGCAAACATGATGCCTTGTATAAAGGTGTCAGTTTTTGTACCAGTTGAAAGGGTAAAAACCTATTACTACACTTTATGCACATTACACTGCGCTATACACTACACCAGTGGTGAGCGATCCCCCCTCCTCGTGGTGGCCTGGTCTCGGTGTGTCTAGGGGTGATGCGTGGGGTCACGATGAGTGTACAAGCGCGATGTCGAGCTTGCGGCCTACTGAGGTGAGGGAGGGCCGCTCGTGTGGTCCTTAGCTAGTCTAGGTGGCCCATCACTGCTCGAGGTACACGCTTCAGTTTTCTCTGACGTGAAAAACTCTTCCCGAAAAAACGAATCCATCAAACATCCAAAGAGGGTGGGGGGGGGGGCTTGTGAAATAATCTCGAGATTTAGTGAGGTGCGGGATAAGTTAGACGATTACAGCATTATGTACCACGTGCATGCGTACGTGCACACACGTTTTAGCATAGAACAACCACTTTTGACTTTAAATAATGGTAGTCACCCGTTGGTTCTTTTGGTGAAGTCACGTAGAAAGAAAATGAATTAAATAATAGAATACGACTTTTCGATTGCAACACAAGCAACCATCATCAGGTAGAACAAACATTTGAGAGAGACACAAAACACAGACACGGAGACACACACACAGAGACACACAACATAGACACACAGAGACCCAATGCCTCTGTGTCGAGGCCTTAAATAGAGAGAGGGAGGGGGATGGGGCCCAATGCCTCGACACAGAGGCATTGGGTCTCTGTGTGTCTATGTTGTGTGTTTCTGTGTGTCTGTGTTGTCTTTCTCTGCTTGTGTGTCTGTCTGTGTCTCCGTGTCTGTGTTTTGTCTCTCTCTCAAATTTAGTTCTACCTGATGACGGGTGCTTGTGTTGCAATCGAAACGTCGTATTCTATAATTTAATTTATTTTCTTTCTACGTGACTTTATCTAAAGAACCAAAGAGTAATTCCTGCAGTCACGAAAGCTTCAAATCAAGTTTAATGGTAGTCACTTAATCTACCCTTTGGGGTTACTAAAATTAGTTTTCACTGATGTGGATGTTCAGTCAACTGAAATACATTCATACCAATTAATGTTACTAACTTAGCTTCAAGATTAAACAGCAGCTTATTTGGGAATGCTGGAATACAAATCTGAACAGTAAATAAGCATTAACCTAATGTGTTTCTGTTGTCAACTTGCCTTTGAATCCTGGGTGCTTAAAATGTATCCACATTTGCAGCCAGACCAACGCCAAGAGAGAGATGGCCAGCAAGAAGTAGAGCCTCAGAGGTGTGGTTGATAGTAACCTTCACACACACACACAGACAGTGGGGCAAGTGCTGTCAGCAGTGGCCGACAAGGGCCTTCATTCCAGGCACACGAGTGGCTGGTAGTGTCGACGCTTCACACACACACAGTGGGGCAAGGTGTTGTCAGCAGTGGCCGACAAGGGCTGTCCAGGCAGACGAGTGGCTCGTAGCGTCGACCTGTCAACCCACTGCTCTCTACGCCAAGTGGCCAAGTGGCAAACGTGTTGCTCAATCACCAAGCAACCCAACTTTTAGACGTGTAATGTAACTCCACTCAAACATTAAAACCCCCCCACGGATGCCACCTGGCAGGATTATGGACCCCAGCGCATGTGTAATGAGCGACTTCCATGACACGTCGTGTAGAGGGTACTCTTCTTTATTCCACATACGGCACGGCACAGGCCAACATTATCGGCGTCCTCTCCAGGTACACACTTAGATGTTACGTTCTACAGACTACAAATAAAAATATCCCCCGTGTAGCCTTAACAGACTGTAGGGGCAAGTGCTGTTAGCGAGCACCTATGAAGGCCGGAACGGTACACGAGGGGGTGGGTGGCCAGCACCACGCCCGACCGCCTTTGTCTCCCTAGCGGCGATGTTTACACACCGCACCAGGTACTCATTTGAGGCTGAGTCGACCTAGGGGAGGCCCAGGACCGGTTCAGATAATTGATACTGATGTTTGCCGTGAGCGGGAATCGAACCCAGGTCGCCAGGTTTGTAGTGCAGCGCGCTAACCGCTACACTACCGCTCCCCACAATCTACAGACTACACAGACGGTTGAACACACGGCTGGTTCCGTCCGCTCCCGGTCTCGTCGCTGGCTGACGGCGTGCCGGGGAGGGCGGTGGAGCTCCGCAGGAGATCCGCCACGTGGCCGAACGACGGAGAGAGATGACTGCGAGCAGCGGCGCAGTCCGGACCCAAGACTTCACACACTGACCTCGAGTCCTCCTCCGCCTCCGCTTATATTCTCGCAGGCGCGGCTAGGCTCCGCATCCGGCCACGCCCTCGCGTGGAACTTTCTAGCCAGTTCTCGGAGTTTCTCGGCCAGCTCTACCCTTCACCTTTGGCCTCGGTATCTTCCCCTTTGAGGATTGGATAATGTTTATAATGGTGCCTGTACCCGTGCTACCCTTTACCAACCAGTAGATGTCATTATCTCATTACACATGTATAAACTGTCCAGTATTTATTGTCTAGCCCAGGGAATCGGCAACCAAAATAACAAGAGGAGACTTTTTTCGAATTCGGTAAGAAACTCAATGATTCAAGAGTCGCAATGCACTGTGGTGAATAACAGACGGTGGTGGTCCTTAATAAATACTTCAGGAAGCAGTCCTTTAAAGAACCGCATGTGGCTCCAGAGACGAAGGTTGCCAACACCTGCTCTAGCCAAAAATACATTCCCAAATAAACAAAACAGAAGCGAATGCTATAAGGGTAAGGAGTCATAACAAATTACTGTATTAGCCTTATTCCTAGGAAAAGAAGCTTATAAGTGTAAAACATATGATTTCAGATAATTTAGCAAAACCAAAATGTAGTTCAGTGTTGTTTTCGGAAGACTTCTGGGATTTAATCTCCTGCTTTATATGCATAATAAAATAAATCTGTCCCATCTGATAAAATACAGTAGTGAAATAATTCAATTTTGGCGAGTTTTTTTTTTAATGCTGTAAACAACTGAAAATATGGATTCAGTTTTTGATGGAAAAGTGTCTGTTACATTATCAGCCAAACACGTATAGAGTAGTTTAGAAATACTCAAAAATAAAAATGCTTGCTAGAGCATGCTGCTGCCACTTCTGCTACTGCTGCATGACCTGCACTACCCTCCATAGAGTCATTTAATGGTCTCCTTGTGACAAATCTGCCGAGATAGAGCCACGCATATCAGTTGTAAGAGTTGATCAGTGATTAAGCGTCAACACATACACACATTCAATATAATCCAGAGATTTTTTTGGGGGGTTAGATTGCGTAAATATAAATGTGTAACTCATATTGTAAATGTTACGGATTTACTCTCTAACACACAACTGGTGTGCTGAACTAGGAACTAATTGCCATGTTTAGTTCACGTGAAAAACCTTACTAATTGGCTGTGTTGGGTGGTGGCGAGTTTAACGACACATTTATATTAACAGGATCTAACCCAAAAAAAACATCTATAATGGATACTGGTCGCGCAAGCCTCTGCGTTAAGCTGACATACACAATGCATACATAAAATATGCCGTCCCACACACACTCGTAACGACAGAGATCTCCTAAACAGCTATTTCCATGCAGGTGGGTAAAGGGCTGCTGGAGATTATCTACGAAGGCTGGTGGTGACCAGCACCGTGCCCGGGTGCCTCTCGCCTCCCCAAAGCCGATGCTGACCCACTGCATTAGGTACTCATTTAAAGCCGAGGTGACCAAAGGGACCGGTCCACAGAATCCACCATTTGCAATGTCCTTTCTCAAAGATGTCGGCAATCACGACCTTCCATCCACGTATATCTGCCCATGATATTTACTCAAGAAGTTTACATTCGAGTACACAATCCCAGTTGCATCAATTGTTCAAATTGTTGGGAAGCTCATGACGTCTTAAACGTTAAAGTATGCGGCTCCTCGATGCAGTACTTGGTATGCATCTAGAAGAAATACATGTTCAAATAGATACGTGTGAAACTAGGAATGCATCATCAGTGTTGACCCCACTTGTTGTGTGACCGTGACATATAATATTCTGGATGGCTTTTACCAACATCATTGTCCTCATCCTGTGAGTAAATGACCCCAATGGACATCTACGTTTAACATTGCTACCGACCCGGCCAGCACACTTTCCGTTTACAGAGTCAATCATCCAAAAGAGGCTGTGCATGCGGAGGTAACGCACAACGCCTCTGTAATTATCCAATTCAGTAATTGGATGATTATGTTGTTTTAGGTTTAGTGTTTAAATCGTGTTGTATTTGTTGTACTGCATTGCTCGCATTTTATTTTACTATATTGTGTACAGCAATATGTTCAGGAGCCGAATGCAAATGCCGTGGTCTGCAGGCCACGAAGTCTTCAAGATCATTTGTAAAGTTGTACTGCTCCTCCTCCGCTGAAGGAGCGCAGACTACAGTGGTTTACTACGTGGTCCATAGTTTTGGTTGCATGTCCCAAATCGCACTGTAGCTTGTCTTTAATTTTCCATTCATGAAGGAGAAGCGTGCATCGGCCTGCTGATGTTCTGAAGTGGTTGAATGCTCCACCGGCCTCTTCGAAGAGACGTCACAACAAGGAGATGTGATGTTTGGGTCTCATTTGAGGAGCTTATTCTGGATGTTCCGCATTGTTCCACTCTGTCTACCAGTGTTCTTCCGAATATGGGTGAGATTCTACGCTGGCGACAGCGGTGCGAACCAAAAAAGGGGGATTGGGACATGAGTATGCGTGAGAGGTACACTGCGCGTGCATGTTTGTTTGTAAGAGCGTGTGTATGTGGACGAGAATAATAGCAGAATTCTGGGTGGTCCCCACTGCCTGTGGAATCTCGTGGAAATGTACGCCGTCCCCTTGAGTAAATCCCTTAGAGAATCAGAAATGCGACAAATTGTGACCCACATAATTTACAGAAACGCTTAAGCCGTTCGGTACTCGAGCCACAGGCCTGGATAAAGTTACACACACAGAGGCAAAGACACAAAATAAAGACAAAGGTTCCCTGTATAGCATTAACAGACTGCTGAAGTAAGTTCTGTTAGTGAGCACCATTGAAGGCCGACAAGGTACACAATAGGGTGGGTGTCCAGCACCACTCTCTGCCACCTTTGTCTCCCAAGTGGTGATGTTTACATCCTCGACCAGGTACTCATTTGACGACGAGTTAACCTAGGGGAGGCCCAGGATTGATTGACACAATTGTCACTGATGTTGGTTATAAGCGGGAATCGAACTCGGGTCTCGAACTCGGGTCACTCCCCACAAAGACACTCCCTGTGCTGCAACATTCGAGAATAGTTGGCTGCCAGGCACTCTAGTGGGCATGAGGAGCACTGTAGCAGTGGTTATTCAAAACACAACGCCCGTTCCCGTTATAAACTCCAGAAAGGGAAAAGGCTGTAAAGCATTAAGGGGCCGTCCATAAATGACGTCACACACCTAGGGGGGGGGTCAGACATTTGTGACACTGTGTGACGATGGGGGGGGGGGGGGTTGAGAAATGTGACGTCACATCAAAATGTGCAACTTTAAATAAATATAGACATGTTCTACTTAATTAAATAGGCTTTTTAAGAAATGTTTTCTCATACAACATCAGCATGCAGCGCCACATTAAATACGCACTACAATGACAATAGTTTAAAGCGATTTGAAGCATGTTTTATTTTTTTGGGTGAGGGGGGAAGCAGAGCTTTGTGACGTCATATTTGAGGGGGGGGTATGACTTTTTGTGACGCTGTGTGACGAAGGGGGGGGGGGTAACAAATCGTCCAAAATCGCGTGACGTCAATTATGGACGGCCCGTAAGCTGCTGAGACGCGAGTCGAGTAAAGTGTCACCCGAGTGTGCGAGCAGCAATCCGCTGGAAAGCGTGGGGTGGCGATCGCCGCTCTGCCCGCTGCTATGCCTCTGCTGCCTGCCCAACCGGTGGGGCCACCAAGGCATAAGCAAACCAAGCATAAGGTTAGGGCCCCAGGTAGCTCAAACGGAGGAGGGGGGGGACAAGGGATTTGCTGTGAGTAGCACCTATGAAGACCATGATGAGGTGGGTGACCAACACCACGCCCAGTCACCTTTGTCTCCCTAGTGACGATATTTACAACATCGCACCAGGCACTCATTGTAGGCCGAGTCGACCTAGGAGAGCCCCACGACCGGCTCATATAATCGTTAATGGTGTTGTTGGTGGCCGTGAGCAGGAATCGCACTCGGGTCGCCGGATTCGTTGCGCAGCGCGCTAACCGCATCACTCTCTAACGCACACTCATCGTGAAAAAATACGAGGTGTAAAGACGTTCAAACACCACGTAGACATCGAGTCTGCACAAACCACACGTCATGCCTGTGGTAAAACATTCAAACAAAAACAAACATGCTCCGATTGTCTTCGGCTGACAATAGAGATATCTTTCTTATCTGTGGCCTCCTCTCAGCACCAGTGTGAGACCAGAGAACAGCACCAGTGTTAGACCATGGAACAAGGACGGTGTTAGACCAGAGAACAACGCCGGTGTTAGACCAGAGAACAACGCCAGTGTTAGACCAGAGAACAACGCCAGTGTTAGACCAGAGAACAAGACCAGTGTTAGACCAGAGAACAAGGCCGGTGTTAGACCAGAGAACAACGCCGGTGTTAGACCAGAGAACAACGCCAGTGTTAGACCAGAGAACAAGGCCGGTGTTAGACCAGAGAACAACGCCGGTGTTAGACCAGAGAACAACGCCAGTGTTAGACCAGAGAACAACGCCGGTGTTAGACCAGAGAACAACGCCGGTGTTAGACCAGAGAACAAGGCCAGTGTTAGACCAGAGAACAAGGCCAGTGTTAGACCAGAGAACAACGCCGGTGTTAGACCAGAGAACAACGCCGGTGTTAGACCAGAGAACAACGCCGGTGTTAGACCAGAGAACAACGCCAGTGTTAGACCAGAGAACATGGCCAGTGTTAGACCAGAGAACAACGCCGGTGTTAGACCAGAGAACAACGCCGGTGTTAGACCAGAGAACAACGCCAGTGTTAGACCAGAGAACAAGGCCAGTATTCGACCAGAGAACAACGCCGGTGTTAGACCAGAGAACAAGGCCAGAGTTAGACCTGAGAACAACGCCAGTGTTAGACCAGAGAACAAGGCCAGTGTTAGACCAGAGAACAAGGCCGGTGTTAGACCAGAGAACAACGCCAGTGTTATACCAGAGAACAAGGCCAGTGTTAGACCAGAGAACAAGGCCAGTGTTAGACCAGA